AAATAAGGAACTTGAACTAAAGTCAGAGTTCAAAGATACAAAAATTTTGAGGGTCTCTACTAAAAGAAAAACAAATCCAAAATAAAAAAGAAGAATGCATGTAATTACACTTCCTCTAATAAGGGCAGATTTCAGAAACCAAGATATAAGGATAAAAATAAAGGTCAGAATAAAACCAAAAACCAAGTCAGGAAATGTTACTATTGTGGAAAGACAGGACATCTAATCAAAGACTGTTTTAACAAAATCTCTGATTTAAAAGGAAGAAACAGTCCTGATGATACTGCAGCTCTAGCCTGCAATAATGAACTTGACATTCAGGGTGTTGTTCTTGCCAACACACCTAAAGGAGACCCAAATGAATGGGTTCATGATTCTGGATGCACTTTCCACATGTGTCCTGTTAAGGAATGGTTTGCTGAATTTGTTGAACTCAATAGAGGTCAAATTCAGATGAGTAATGACATGAGTTGTCAAATTAAAGGCATTGGAAAGTTGAAACTCAAGTTAATTAATAACTATTTACTTGAGTTAAATAACATCAGATATGTACCTGATTTGAAAAGAAATCTAATATCCCTAGGGGAATTAGATGACAAATATCATATTGTGATTCATAAAGGGCTTATAATTATAAATGATGATAATGAGGAAGTCATCACCTCTCATAAGACACATGGGATTTACACTATTATTGGTGAACCTATTGTAAGTTCCACCTCCACAGCTATAAATCCTAAAACAAATCAATCTCTAATCTAGCATAAAAGACTTGGTCACATTTCAGAAAAAGGTCTTCTTGTTTTAAATAAACTTAGCTGTTTTGGAAAAGATAACATTGAAAGGTTAGATTTTTGTGAAGCCTTTATTTTTGGAAAACACCAAAAACAATCTTTCAAACCTGGAATTCATAAAACATCATCCATTTTAGAATATTTACATGCTGATCTCTGGGGACCAGCCTCTGTAAATACACTGAGTGGCTTTAGATTTTATCTACTAATTGTGGATGATTTTTCAAGAAAAACATGGACCTTTCTGTTGAAACAAAAATTTGATACCTTTCAAATCTTTAAACAATGGAAGTTGATTATTGAAAATCAAACCAACAAGAAAATTAAAGCACTTAGAACTGACAATGGACTTGAATTTTGTAATACTGAATTTGATTTCTTTTGTAAAGAAAGTGGTATATTAAGGCACAGAACTGTGGCATACACCCCGTAACAGAATGGTGTTGCTGAAAGAATGAAGAGGACCTTATTAGAAAAGGTCAGGTGTATGTTACACAGCTCTAGCTTACCAAAATTTCTCTGGGGGGAAGCCCTTAAAACTGCAACCTATCTTATAAATAGAAGTCCATCAAGTGCTATTAACTTTCAAATACCTGAAAAATTGTGGTCAGGAACTATATCAGATTACAGAAAATTAAGAGTATTTGGCTGCGCTACCTATGCTCATCAAAATGAGGGAAAATTGGAACCTAGATCACAAAAATGTGTCTTTCTTGGTTATGGAGAGGAAACCAAAAGATATAGACTTTGGGTTAAGGAACAGAATGGTTTCAAAGTCATTATAAGTAGAAATTTCTTATTCAATGAAAAGGATATGCCATGCTTGAATTCATCTGGACCAAAATCAAATGAATCCACAATCATAAAGGAAACTGTTCTGAAAAATCAAATTGAAAGCCCTATTGATCATATTGATAAGATTGAGGTGGAGACCACTTAATCTGAAGCTGAAAGTGATCAACTTGAACCTGTATTTGAATCTGAAAATACATCCCTTACTGATTATCAACTAACAAGAGATAGGGAGAGGAGAAGCATAATACCCTCTACCAGATTTAATACTGATGAATTTGTTACCTTATTTTTTGGTCTAGATTCTTTGAATTCAGAACCAAACACCTATGAAGAAGTTGTTAGTTGTCCTGATTCAAATTTCTAGAAGGAAGCTATGGATGATGAAATGAATTCTCTGATAAAAAATGAAACTTGGGTCTTGGTAAATAAACCAAAAGATAAAAGGATAGTTGATTGTAAGTGGATCTTCAAAATAAAACAAGGAGATTCTAACTCAGAAAATAAGAAGTATAAAGCTAGATTAATAGCAAAAGGCTTTACGTAAAAGGAAGGTGTAGATTACAATGAAATTTTTTCTCCAGTTGCTAAATACACCTCTATTAGAATTCTTCTTGCATTAATTGCACATTTTAACTAGGAATTAGAACAATTGGATGTCAAGACAGCTTTTCTTAATGGAGAACTTGATGAAGAAATATACATGAATCAACCAAAGGGATATCAGATAAAATCAAAGACTCAACAGGTTTGTTTACTGAAAAAATCACTTTACGGGCTTAAGCAAGCTCCTAGGCAGTGGTATATAAAATTTTACTCTTATATGAAAACCTTGGGGTTTATGAAAAGTAATTATGATTCCTGTTTCTTCTTCAAGGGATCTGGTGGTCTTGAATCCATTTATCTGCTATTGTATGTTGATGACATGTTACTTACATGCCATGATAAATCTGAAATAGAATCTGTCAAGTTTAAACTAAAATCAGAATTTGAAATGAAAGATCTAGGTAAGGCTAAAAGAATTCTAGGAATGGATATGGAAAGGGACAGAAATAATTACATGCTATGTCTAAAACAAGAAAACTATGTAAAGAAAATTCTAGATAAGTTTTCTATGGTTGAATGTAAATCTGTATCCCTGCCCCTTGCAAATCATTTCAAATTATCATGTGATTAGTCACCAAAAACTGAAGAAGAAATTGATAGAATAAAAACTGTTCCGTAGGCTAATGCAATAGGATCTATAATGTATCTTATGGTATGCACTAGACCAAATCTAGCTCATGGAATAAGTATTTTGAGTAGATTCATGGCAAACCCAGGTGAAACTCAATGGTTAGCAGTTAAATGGATGCTTAGATATCTAAAAGGATCATGTCAACTAGGAATAAATTTCAAAAGATGTAATGAAGGTAGAATTCTGAAGGGTTACTGTGATTCAGACTTTGCTGGAGACTTAGACAAAAGAAGATCTACTTCATCTTATATTTTTACTCTGTGTGATAACTGTATTAGTTGGAAATCACAACTGCAGAAATTAGTTGCATTATCCTCAACGGAGGCAGAATATATTGCTGCATGTGATGTGATGTTGTTAAAGAATGCATTTGGCTAAGAGGGTTATTAAATGAAATTGGTTTTCTAAATGATTCTGTAAAAATATTTAATGATAACCAAAAGTGCTATACATTTGAGTAGAAATCCAGTATATCATGATAAAACAAAGCACGTTGACATAAAATTCCTCTTTGTGAGGAATATGGTTGAAAAATGTATGATTTCTTTAGTCAAGATCCCTACTGAATATAATCCCTGTGATGTATGTACTAAGATACTTCCTTTAAACAAGTTCAAAAATTGCTTAATGATTCTGAATATCACATAAGATTGACAGTCAGTGATAAACTAGAATCTTAAGCCATGTATAGAATTCAAACTAATTTCAATTTTTGTTTTTTGTTTTTACAGATTATGAGAGCAAATGAAGCTAGTTAATCTCTAGATCCATTAATTAAACAAGAAATAGCTCATCAAGGTGGAGTTTGTTATACTTTTGGGCTACCTCGCTATTTCTAAAGAACTGGGCCTCTTTAATTGGTTTAGTACCTGACCCATTACTAAAAACGTTTCCCTGTGAATAACGTTTTTTGCCTTCCTCAAGTGATGTCTTCTGCCGTACACGTGGCTTCTTGGTAGCCTTTGATCTGTGACGATTGGTTTTGAGTAATTAACTTTGGGCTCTTCATTTTTTCGACAGAACTAATCTTTCTCTCTCGATTGTTCTATCTGTGTGTGAACTAGGGTTCTTTCAGGAATTGGTAACCATTCATCTTCGTGATGATTTCTCTGCAGTTGAGTGTTTAGAGTTGTTTAGAAGATCTGTGTAAGATTTAGTGTTACCATATTTCAAATAGAGAGGCTAGAGGGAACTTGAAAAAATCTGTAATTTCTTCATACATTTATACGTTTTCTTGGAGATTTAGTGGATCTAGAGCTTAATCGCGCAGTTGATGCTCAACGGGTGAGTAGGTCTTTGTGACTGAACATCCGGACCCTTTATGGATGAAAAATATTCTGTGTTCTTGTTTCTATTTTCTGAAATCCGTTTTAAATTTCTCAAAATCTAACAAGCACTTTGCTAAAATACCAACACTTAGTTCTTTTGACTTTGAAAACCATGTTTAATGACCTTGAAATAAAAATAAAAACTCTTAATTTTTCCCTAAAAAAAAAAAAAGGTTGCCCATTTTTTCAATTTATTAATTTTTATAAAATATGTAATATTTAGAATGACTTTATAAATTGTGCTTAAAGCCTATTTTTGTCTCTAATAAACCCTAAAATCGCTCTCGCTAAGTCATTTTTGTTCCTTAGTGTAGAAGTTTAGATTTGCTTTTTTACAAGCGTAAGTAGTAATTTTCTCATCTCTTGAATATTGTAGTGATTGTAGCTCGTGAATATTTTGTATTTTGTTATTTATGCTTTTGTATGTGAAATTTTGTTTCGCTACACCAGAAATCACCTTTTGCAATAGTCAAAAAACGTTGTCTAAACCCTTTTTGCAACGATCGCGTGTATGTTGTGGGATGCGATGTTGCCATAGAGATGAAGGTAACGGCAACGTTCATTGACCGTTGTGAAAGGCTTCTTTTGCAACGCTCACTGAACGTTGCAAAAGAAGCCTTTCACAACGGCCAGTGAGCGTTGCGAAAGACCTTTCGCAACGTTCAGTGAGCGTTGCGAAAGAAGCCTTTCGCAACGGTCATTCACCGTTGCCTCTTTTTTTTTTTCTTTTTTTTTTTTCTCAATCAATAATTTATGCATATTGACTATAGCAAAATTGAAGATAAATCCTAATGAACAAATTTTGGAATTGCATAAAATTAATAATTTCATTACAAATTTTTGAAATACACTAAAACATGAAATGTGATACAACATTAAATAAGAAATTTCTTTTGATACATTAGTACACTTAAATTATCCATTGAACACAATCAAAACAAGTGAAACGTTATTACATATAATTAAATTAATGTACAGCTCTTTATGCATATTGAGTCAAATTCTTACATTGCTTTTATATTGACTGCACTTGATTGAATTTCTTCAAGATACTCAAAGCTATTAATGTTTACTCTCTGCTCGTCCATACTTTACGGAGAAGTTGATACCTGACAGCATTTCGACCTCCATTTTCTTTTGGCATCCAGCTCGGCTTTGGTGAATGTGTGTCAATAATGATAGATGTCATAGGCGAATCTAATTCATCAAGCTCGTCATCACTCGTGTATGATTTCTTGAGAAGTGATGACCCACTCCGTGTCAAGCTAGAACGGCTACCACTTTCTCCCAGGATACCAGCAACTGAAGCAACTGATGGTGGCTGGTAACTCGTCCGCGGTAAAAGAGTTGAGAATCCTTCTTATCAGTGATGGACCAAACGTGGGACATACCTAGGAACACGGAAGATATTATATAAATAAGGTATCGACTATAATATGCATAAAAGATGATGCAAAACAGTAACATTCTAAGCCATGGCTAAACCTTTTTTCTGACTTTGCGACGTAATAGCATTCCAGTGTCCATAGATTTTGTTCAAAGAGATCAAACAATTTATAATTGGCTTCAGTTTCCCTCTTCTTGATAAAGTATGACATCAAAGACAGATTCCCTAGCAATCCAGTGAACGTCCCCTGTAGCCAATAATGATTGATTTAATATGTCAAATGCTGGTTGTGCTGACATAAAGTTCTGATTAAACTAAGCAACTATGAATTAAAGACTTAAGAGAATGGGGGACTAAACAATAACTTCAAGAAAGAAAAAACAAAAGAGAAAGAGACAGGCCTTTGATGGACCTCGAAAAGTGCCTCTCTGTACAACAAAAAATAGAGTTCATTAAATTTTGCAACAAACTCACTTTGCTTAGGAATAAGGATGCTGAATATAAGCCTTAATTCAAACATGTCTAGAAGTTTGTTTACAAGGGCTCCAAGTGCATGCCTTGCTTCTTCTAAGAAGCTGGCTTACTTCCACAGTATCACTATTGATACTGCCAAAATAAGCCACAAAGAAGTCCTTTTTTTTCGGCTTTTGACTTTTGGCTTCTTTTGTCTTCTAAGATCACCTAAGAGGTGTTGCAGAAAACATGTTTTCGCCATTTTAGAACAATTTCGTGAACATATGAAAATTTCCCATCTTTCTACAGTCAAAATACAAAAGACATACAAGAAATTACATCTCTTTATTTAATTTTAAAACCACTCTAGTCCTTTTTTTTTTTTTTTTTTTTTTTTGGGCTTCTTTTGTCTTCTAAGATCACCTAAGAGGTGTTGCAGAAAACATGTTTTCGCCATTTTAGAACAATCTCATGAACATATGAAAACTTCCCATCTTTCTACAGACAAAATACAAAAGACATGAAAGATATTACATCTCTTTATTTAATTTTAAAACCACTCTACCAGGATAAAATATTAAAGTTCCCATTCGTTTGCTTGGATCTTCTTGAAAACATATTAAATTAAACCTTTCAAAATTAAAATGCAACAATAACTCGCTTAAAAAAGGTCTTAAGGGGAGGGTGTCCAATTGTTTATAAACCCAAAAGGCTGGCCTTTCAAGAGCAATGTAGGATTAAGTTAGATCGTCATATAAAAATTCCAAATCTTCATCAAAAGAATTAAAAAATAGAAGATACTACACAAAGAAAGCAGCAAAAAGGTACCAGTGCAGGAGGTTTGACGGTGAGGAGGCAAGAGATTTTCTCCCTTTCAATATTAATAACCTTAAGAGCTCCACCAATAAGGTTAGAGAAAGAATCCTTAATATTATGTTCAGGTTAGAGGGTATCATAATTTCATTCTCCACATTAGGCATAATAATAAAATCAATCATAATCGAATTCAGCATAGCTCACCTGAATATTTGTGCTTCTTTAGAATCTTAATTTGAAACTCTGTAAAGAATAATTAGACTGAGAAACCTGTATTCACATGAAATTGAATAATCATTCAAAAGAACTCACTATATAAGTAGAAGAAAAGATAAATCAAGAAAATGGCGTAAGATATTAAGTATAAAACACTAATAATCACTCAAAAATTTCAATCATGTGATAAACCATAGAAATCATCAAATTTTCAAATCCCAAGACACTAAATCATAAAGCCTGAATTCCTAAATTAGAAATCCCTAAATCAAAAAAATCCTAAATTGGTAAAAACACAATTAATTACAGGAATGAATAATACCTAAATCAACATTCAAAAAAACTGGGAGAAAACATTAACATAGTAACATTACAGACACTAAAAGTGGAAGACAATAGCTTAAATAAAATGTTACATACTGTAGAGTTCCAACAACGACGGGAGATGATTGACACAGTGTAGACGGTAGACGAGAACAATGGATTAACTCAACTACTCAAGAAGTAACGTGCAGACTTCGGAGTGGAGAATCGGAGATGACGAAGGGCGAGAAAGTGATACGATCATGTCTGCTAGGGAGGCTGAAAAGAAACTTGGGGGAGAGAGATATAAAGCACTACCGCAGCCGGGGGCGAGAACTGGGAAGGGACACCCAAATTGTGAAATGAGAATGATTTTAGTTAGGTTTATATGTTAAAAGAAAGGAGGCGAGACTTTTCGCAACGTTCGTGTTTAAGAACATTGCGAAAAGACTTTTAACAACGTTCCTTGATCGTTGCAGAAAGTGACCTTTAGCAACGTTCTTATGTACATTGCGAAAAATAACTTTTCGCAACGTTCTAACGCATGTTACAAAAAAGACCGTTCTGCAACGTTCAAAGAACGTTGCGTAAAGGCTTTTTCGGCAACGTTCAACGAACGTTGCGAAAAGTGACTTTTTGCAACGTGCATTTAAAAACTGTTGTCAAAACTCAATTTTTAACACCAATGGCAATATTCACTTATAAGAACGTTGCTATAAACCTCTTTAGCAACATTCAAGCAATGAATGTTGCCTTTTGCATGTTGCAAAAGGTAATTTTCATTGTAGTGTTTATTGTGTGTTTGCACGTGACAAAACGTGTTTCTTGGTTACAGTTTAGCATTTTCGCCTATTTGTTTTTGAGAATCCAACTGCAACTTCATTTTTTGCTTCTCTATATTTAGGATTCACTGTGTGAAGGAGCAATTTCACTTATTTTATATCAAAAGGTATGTATTTCATTTTTTTCCACTTCAGTAGATAGCGTTCAGATTCTTCATTTTTCCCTTTAGATTTTGGGTTATTGTTCCTTTCTTCGATTGATTTATCTATTTTGGTTTGTATTGATTTTGTTAGCTTGGTTCTGTGTTGTTAATTATATATATATATATATTAGATGGGTTATTATGGATTTTGCAGAAAAGATGATATTTTAGAAAATTCAAGTCAAATGAGCTATCTCTTGTATCTGAATGCTTCATGTTCTGTCAGGGATAATTTGGGAGTTTCGGATATGAGAATGATGTCAGTTAGCCCACTTTTAGTTTCTGAATTTCGTGCGGATATGGCTAAGATACTTGTGTATGGCTTTGCTGAATTTCAGATTTATAATTTGCTTGAACTAAAAATTGCTCTAATTAAGTTCCATGGAAGATTGCACTTTTTAAGCTATAGGAGTATAAGAGCTATTTTTCTTTAGACAAACAACAAATTAAGTTTTGTTCTCAATAAATTTGAAGACTGCTACATAAAATATTTTTTTACATGTTTCTTTAGTAATTTCTAGATCTCCAACAGTTGCAATAAGCTGCCTTTGCTATTATTCTTTGGTAAGTTATTACAATCCTTCCAGTTTGCTAAGTCATAGTCTTGTGTTCAAAGATGAAGGAATAAGGATTTGGCATGCTACGGAGATTATAGTGATTTTTTATGGCTATATATGTGGAGTTTAATGATGCTTATATGTATTTTATTTTATGCTTCCATCGAGCTTTCAAGATGTGGCCAATCTGGAGCTTATGATGCTATTTGGTTTCAAAGATTGTGCGTGTATTTACATTCTAAAAATTTATTTATTAATTAGTTTTGTTAAGTTTGTAAAGTTCCATCTGACTACCGTCGAAGATGTTACTTTAACTATTAATGTTTTGAAGATAGCATTATCATAATTGCTTATGGTTTGGATTTTTTTGCGAGAGTTAGGAGGATTAGAAATATTAATCAATCTTGGGAAATGGAGTCTTGGCAAGTTCTTTAATTAAATTTTGTTTAATTCATGCTCTTTTATTTCTTATCGTCAATTTCAATTACATTGATAATAATTTTATTGAATTGAATATTTTGTTACAAATTATTGTTTATTTTTCTTCATCAACTTAGACTTCAATTAAAGACAAAATATAGTGGTTTTTACAACTTTATGCATTAACTACAGGATTTTGTGAAACTATGGAAACGTCATTAGTTATAGACTTGTATTACATTGATGGTTAAAAAATAAGTGTTAGTGTTAACTTTGACAATTTAAAAGTATGTCCAATAATCTGTAAATGAGAAAAATGAATTAAAAAAAATAAAAATTCGAACGTTGTTGTAAAATCGCACAGTCGAAATCTCTTCTTTTATCAGTCACGCATTTTTTAATCTCAATGAATAAGTACTAGTTTCAGTCTCCTAATTTTATTTTTCGCACCTTTTATGCAGCTTCTAATAATCATACTACTAAATATCTTTTAAATTAATAGGTATGTATTTCAATCCTATCCCTTTTTATTTAACCGATGCTGTCATTTTTGGTTATTTACGTTTTTAAATACAAATGAAACTTCAGTTTTAGATTATATCTAATATGGATTTCCTTATTTGAAGGGGGTAATCTTGAGTCCTCCATATCAGTAAATCTATGTGAATTTGATTATTTGAGACTACACAACTTGAAAATCTGATTATGGATTTTGGACAATAATTCTTGTAGACATGAATTGACTTTCTATTGCTGATAAAAGTTTAATGTATATACTTATCTATTTTCTCTGTAGTATAAATAATATATCTAACAGAATTGATTTACCACACCATTTCTTTCAAGTTATCACACCTTCATTGGCCCATTATGTTTGTTTGGTGAGTCTTAAAATGATTTCTTTGTTAACATGTATTCATAGTTAATAAAACTATATATAAAGTAAATAATATTTTTATGAGACTTATATATATATATATATATATTTTTTTTTTATTATAGTCGCTTCCTAAATCTTTTGTACGTCGCTCAGGACATAAACTTAGTGATACAGTATGTTTGATTGGTTATGATATAATTATTTGTAACATACAACTGGAAAGAGTTGATGATAACATATATTTTGCTGCTAGATGACCACAATTCTTTGACCACCATAATTTACAAGATGGTTATGTTATCCTCTTTGAATACAACAGAAATTCTACTTTCGATATTTGACCATTCAGGCATAGAAATAATGTATAAGTCTGGTACATTTGAGGTAGGGATTTCACGTACTGGTAATCCTATTTTTCAAGTAACATTAGAGGCTAATCACAATGGTCATCGAAAATTTGTGGGCTCCTCTTTAACTTAATTCTTTTCTAGACTTTATTTTTCTTGACTTACATGTATGAGCTATTTTTCATATTTATTGTTCTCACTTAATTCTAAATTTTATTATTTATAGATTTGTGAATTTATTTTGTAGTATGTATTTAGGGCCTTCACTCGATTGTATCTACCAAAATTTGTCCTGAATGTTCAATTCCATGATTGTTCACATCATAATTGGCCAATACGAACAAATCTAAAAACAAACGGTTATGTACGATGTTTCATCATAGGTCGGACAGACTATGTTAGAGAGAAACATTTTCAAAGAGGTGATACATGTGCAGTTGAACTTGTGAACGATGAAATCCCTATGTTCATGGTGTACAAAGTGTCGCGCCGATGGAAGTTTGACTCTTACATGAATTGTGTATTTTCATGTTTACTTGTTATCATACATTTATTTTGGTTTCCTATGCATGGACATAATTTATTTTTTGCACCTGTGGCATTCATTCAACTGTATCTACCAAAATTTGTCTAGAACGTCCAAATCCGTGATTGTTCACATCATAATTGGCCAGTATGAACAAATCTAAGAACAAATGGTTATGTATGATGTTTCACAATAGGTTGGGCAAATTATGTTAGAGAGAAACAACTTCAAATAGGTGATACATGCTTCTTTGAATTTGTGAACGATGAAATCCCATGTTCATGGTGTACAAAGTGTGATGCCACGATGGAAGTTTGACTCTTACATGAGTTGTACATTTTCATTTGTACCTTTCATATTTACTTATTATCAAACATTTATTTTGTTTTCTTATGTATGAACATTGCATAACTAAATTTATTAGGATTAGGATTTCTAATTTACTTGTATTATTTTAACTTCAAATTTACCCTCAATTTGTCCTTTTTTTTTTTTTGGAATAAAGTGGTCATAGAATTTGATTTTAGTACTTTTAATTAACTTATATAATGAAATCCTAATTTTGGACTTCGTTAAATGCTATATCATCGTCATTTGAAGACTAGCATCCTTGACCTTTATTTAAAAAAAAATGTATTATAGATTTCAAATCATAATATCTTCACAACAATCTAAGTAGGATATTCTAAGTCTATATGAAGAATATTTTTGCTATAACTCAAATGTTTGATGCTTCTTTTGGTCTCTTACTTTTGGTTTTCAAAACTACACCTTCGTGCAACTAAAAAGGTGTTTACTCACTCAATCTTTGCTCTATTGTGTAATTATTCATCTCTTTATTTCTATTTGAGGTATGGTTTCATTTTTACACTTCTATTTACTTAATCAAGCTACACATTTTCTGCAGGTAGGTCTAAGGAGTCGAATATTAACGATAATCCTCGAGTTTCTTCCAAAGCATTTATCAGTAAACTTAGAGAGAAATCTCCTGAAAGCCTATCATAATTTAAAAGAGTAATCAAATATCTTCACAAAAAAAAACTTCTCTTTTATTTGTAGCCACAAAATGAACATTATATAGTTCAAACCAACGACGATATTTCTGTCAATTTATTTGATTGTTCTTTTAAATTATGTTATGCTTTCGGGAGATTTCTTTCTAAACTTAGTGATGATTACTTTGTAAGAGGTTCAAACTCTATATTCCAACATGATTTCACATTGAGACATAATTCTTTAATTAACATGTATTACAGTACATTTTTGTCTCAATTTATAATCTTAAATTTCAAATTTACTTACGAACACTTCACACTTTTCTTTTACACAGAAAACTCATTTTCCTTCTCTGTTCTAGGAAAACTAAAGATATAAGATCACGAAAGGGATCAAAGTTTAGACATATGTTTAAGTGAGACTAGTAAGTAGATTTTCTTCATTTTCAAATTTTGAAAATTGTCATGTTGGTCAGTAAAATCCTATGGATGAGAGAGATGAAAAAATTAGGCACAAATGTGCTTTGCCAATTTATTTGCAAGTTTCATTCTTGATAAATTTTATATCTTAGGTTTGTCCTAAGAGGCATTCAGCTATCTGCCTTATGCAAAAAAACGTGGACTTGAATTATTGGGGCACTAATCTTCTACAAAATATTCACATTTGCAATTGATCATTTGAAAAGTTTTATTCATATTGAAGTCGATAAATAGTATGGAATTAATGAGGCTCATATTTTGCCCTTTTGTATAATCTTTTTTATTATTCATGCAATTATTTATATTGCATTTCTTAATCTTCTGATAGATTCTTATGCTAATAAAAGATCTTTTGACCTTTTGATATCTGAAAACAAGTATGTAAAGTACTTGCAATATGTATCCAAGCAAAGTCATCCATGTCCCTTCCTACAAAATTTTTAATTTGCTCTTAGATAAAAGCAAGTCTAATGCACTCTCTAAGAGCAAGTGGGTCCGTGTGAATAATTAAAAATATAATGTTGATTTTGCATAGATATGATCTTGCTTCGCGCTATAATATTAACAATGATATATGTAATTTTATGTATACTTCACATTGGATATTCAATTGCTTTATTATTTGTCTGTTATGATGATGATGATGATGATGATGATGATGATGATGATGATGATGATGATAATAATAATAATAATAATAATAATAATAATAATAATAATTATTATTATTATTATTATTATTATTATTATTATTATTATTATTATTATTATTATTATTATTATGCATTGTTCCAACTATACTTATACAAGAGAGAATTTTTTTTGTGAATATGATTCTTTATATAATCAATTGCAAATCCGAATAATTTCTTTTATGTAGTGAGGATGTGTGAACATGAAGACATGTCGTTTATCTTGTATATTTTTCTATTTTAATTTACATTATTTGTATCCACATGAACATGTTTGTGAAATATCATAAGTTTCTTATATTTGGAGCAAACTTAAACATTAGCCTTAATTGTATATACTGTTACTTGGATTTTACTAAAATTAGAACTCATGATGCATTATAACATAAATTGTATTATCTAATTCTATGAATCAACCATTTATCTGATTTTTCTTCATAAAGTTCTACAGAAAAAACTTGCTTAAGTTACTTTTGAATATGAAAGGTACATTGCTACCGAATTTGTGGGAATGGATGAGTTATTGTCCTGTAATCCTTTTTAATATATTTCTTCTTGGGGTGAAGTTCTTTCTTTTTATGATTTACCATTTTAAAGTAATTTTATCAATTCATTAACAAGCAATTTTTGTCATGACTCAATTGGCTTTGCAGAGCTCATCAAATTTGACGCATTCATGGAACTGACTTACAAATTCCTATTGATAAAATTTTCTTCATAGTCATGGCTCACGACATAATTTCCATGTGATGGATGATATAATTCTATGCACAGAAAGAAAGATGATGGTGTTGCACATTATATAAATTATATAATTTTTATTTATATAATTGTTCAAAGTCTTTATTTTGTTTCCTATCTTTGGACTATATTAGATTGTATTAGCGATAAAGCTTCCTTCAAAACCTCGAAAGGCGATAGCCACAATCAAGACACTTTCATATGTTCAAGGATTGTATGTATCATTCTTACATGTACATTGCAACAAACAAGCATATAGTTCTGAAAATCACTAAAGAAAACTTTGAAACTACTTGTGCCAATTCTCACGTCTTCTTGGATGTGATGAGAGCAACTAAGTATTTTATGTTGTACCATATGATTTTCTATTTAGTTTAAACATATTGCTGTTTCGATAGCATCTTGATATGCAACTTATTGTCCTTTTTATTTTATAAAAATTCGAAATAGATTGTTTCAACAATGTAACCTTTTTATTTTAATGTATATATTTATAATCATTCATGCTAAGTATAAATAATGGTATGCTTAAATTTTCTAAAATATATTGTTGTTTGGGCAAGTTAACTTACAAAAATATAACAGTTATTGTGCAACGCAGGATACACCACTAGTAAATATAAAATGCACATATATACTCACTCGAGGACTATCAATGTTAACAATAATATCTTTTGCTTCAGGTTATCTGCCAACTGTCAATTCGGCATGCTAGAGGCCCTCGTCTAATCCTTTCTTATATTTGCCAATGTCAGGACAGCTTCATAAGCCCATAGCATTTGCATAAAAATTTGATAAAATATCAAAATCATAAGGTTTTACCAATTAGGTGTACGACCAGTGGATACTATAACCATTAAACATAGGGTTGGTTAAGTAGAGTCCCCAAAGACTAGGGTTGATGAGGACAGTCCTCACCAATTGAAAGTCAACAATATTCGAGTGTTCATTGCTGAATTAGTAAAGTCATCTTGAGAACCAGAGGATCTAAACGCGAAGGATCGTACCATCTAAATATTCTGTAGGGTACACTATTTTTGGACAAATGTTTATTGGACATTAAACTGTAGTAGGCGTCACTTGGCGACTTTCCAAGATTTAAACTCAAAAAGGGAAAATGAGCAGGCAACAATTGGAAACTTTACAAAACTTACTTTTTACGGCCTGCATTTTACGGCATACATTTGCATACCATATAAAGTCATGCAGTAAATATTCACATTTTTTTACGTCATACAATGCATGCCATAAAAAATGAACTGGACGCCATTAATTCACTTTTTATGGCACACAAAGCATGCCATTAAAGCATACATATGGACACCATAAAAAAAAATACATTAAAGTAGTCTATTTACTATTTTATATTATTTATTGACGTGATTACTATCAAATCATATTTTCCATAATTTCAACAAAAAAATATTAAGTAAAATTTAATAATATATGTCAAAATGTAGAGTATATCTAAATGATTTTAATAACGTCACTAGCCAACTCAAAAAGTTTGCCATTGCACTAAATGTTTGAGCACGTGGAAACTTCATTATTCAATGGTTTCCAAGTAGGTTTCCTCGGCAGCCCAAAGATCCTTCTTCGCCTACTGGAGGAAGTTTGCGTATTTGTTCAAGGCCTCTGCATCCTTCAGCTCCATAGCTCTCTTAAAGTAGTCTGCTCTGTTTCAATCAAAAGAATTCCTTAACATCAGTATATAATTGAATTGACAATATAGCTAATTACTCAAACAATTTTTTCTAATGTGTTGGAGGATTTCACCTTCATGTCACTATCTCTCCTTCCAAACTTTTGCGTCAATACTGCCAATGAATCTATCGTTCCCTTTGGCTCAGGAATGTTAGGGTTGGTGACTCAAATGTGTTAGGATTATTGTTGATTTAGAATTTGATCAAGTGGAATCCTAGAAATTGGTTAGGAGTCTTTTGAAGATTCGTGTTAGATTTTTACTTAGAAATGGAATCTAATTGCATCCAACAAAAGGAAACAAAATCCTGTTAAAATGGGTCTCCTAATTTTAATATATTTTCTTGCCTTTTAGGGCTCTTATAAGGTTGGCCTCTAAATACAAGGCTCTTCTGTCAATTCTAAGCCAACTGCTAGATTGCTTTGTATTCTCCATATTGTTGATTCAATAAACATCATTTCTCTGCGTTAATCCTTTTGTTCCTCTTTACAATTTAAACCTTTTTTCGTTGTGTGATCTTGTTTACTTCAATATTGTCTTATAATCTCGTTCCTTCAAATCTGATTTGGAATCAACTAATATTGTTGGAGCTTCCGCACCCAACAAGTGGTGTTAGAACGAGGCCGTTGATTCTCTGCGGATTGGTTGAGATTTTTTTCGAGATAGTTGGGTTGAAGTATGATATTCCGCAATTATATTTTAGTACAAGGTTCTTGTTGTGGAAAGTAAAGATGAGGGTTGTTCTAGCACAGTTGGATTTGGAAGATGCGTTGTGAGATTTTGACAGGATGCCAGCTGGATGGACAACGAAGGAAAAATAGTAGAAGGATCGAAAGGCTATGTCGTTGATTCATCTTTTTTTATCCAACAATATTCTGGAAGATGTCTTGAAGGAGAAGACAACGGTTGCTTTGTGGTTTAGACTAAAGTAGTTGTGTATGACTAAGAGTTTTACAAGTAAATTGGCTCTTAAGCAGAAGCTGTATTCCCATTGCATGGTGGAAGGAGGATCATTGGAAGATCACATTGCTGTGTTCAAGGAAATAGTTGCAGATTTGGAGATGTTGGAGGTTAAGTACGATGAAGAGGATCTTGCCTTGATCTTGTTGTGTTCGCTGCTTAGGTCTTATACATTATTTTGGGATACTATCTTGTATAGTCGAGATAGTTTGACTATAAAGATGTCTATGATGCTTTGCACTCAAATGAGAAGATGAAGCATTTGGTTGGAGCTACATCAAGGGATGGGGAAGCTCTTATATCTCAAAATGGTCAACGAAGAGGCAAATCGAGAGTTAGATTTAGTAATGTGACCTGTTACTACTGCAAAAGAAAAGGACATATTCGAAAGGATTGCGATATGTTGCAGGCTAAAGGTGATTTAACTGAAATCGTGGGGTGCAACCTTTGAATTCAGACAAAAACCAATGTAGTTGAGAATTGTTCAGATAGTAAAAAGGTAATGTTGACTGTGGTATCTAATATGGAGTCTATGCCTGACGAGGAGCGGATTATTGATTCAACATGTTCGCACCATATGTGTTCTGATAGGAATTTATTTCAGACATATGAGGCTATTCAATAAGGTAGAGTTGTAATGGAAAACTACGAATTTTGCCATATTGCTAAGATCGGTCGAGTCAGATTGAGGTTGCTGCATAGAATATTTAGATCAGGTTCGAATGTTCCTGACTTGAAAGGAATCTCATTTCGCTAAATACCGTGGATGTAAAAGGGTATAAATTCTCTGGAGGAGGTGGAGTCTTGAAGGTTCAAAAGGGAGTTCGAGTTGTACTGGAGAGACGGAGGAGATCCCAGTTGTACATTTTGTAGAGGAGTGCAGAATCGATTATAAGACATTTGGACAAGTTTAGTATCATGGTGGAAGTTCAGTTTGGTACAGTACATCTTAGGTTGGGCTCTGAGTCGATTCAGAACACTGCTAGGGAGAATGTTTGACACGACCTGTCTCGAATCACCCTAATGGACCCGACACGTGTCGTCGTCGATGGTAGAGACCAACTAATTGTCGGACCCACCATCAAGACAACTTTAACATACTTTGTCTATGATATACTTTGTAAAAATTTTGGCAGAGTTCTCTCTGAATTATGAACTAGTCACTTTATCCAGTTGTCTGTAATCAATACACAATCTCATTGTGCCATCTTTCTTCTTCATAAATAAGATCGGTGCTCTCCATGGAGACACACTGGGTCTAATGAAACCCTTGTCAACTAAATCTTGCAACTGAACTTTCAATTCTTTGAGCTCTACTGCGGCCATTCTGTAAGGTGGTTGTGAAATTAGTGTAGTTCTTAGAATCAAATCAATTATAAACTCAATTTCTCTATCTAGAGGTAACCCTAGAAGATCTTCAGGAAAAACATCAGGGAAATCTCTTACCAGCGATATATCATCAAGTATTTGCTTAATGATTAGAGTATCAATCACATGAGCTAAATATGCATCGCAACCTTTCCTAAGCAATCTCCCAGCATCAAGTGCGGATATGATAGATGAATGTAATATTCTTCATTCACCATTAAAAACAATTTCAAGCTCTTCTGGTCTTTTAACACTATCTCTTTGTGAAAACAGTCAACTAAGGCATGATTTGCAGCTAGGAAATCCATGCCCAATACCACATCAAAATCATAAATATCAAGTTGAATCAAATTAGCTTTCAACTCCCGATAATTCACTCTAATCACACAATCCTTGTACACACAGTCAACTAAGAATGAATCTCCTACTGGAGTAGCTACCATTAAATCACTATCTAACAGTTCTGACACATGGTCTGCATAATTAGCAAATGCATAAGATATAAATGAATGTGTAGCACCAGAATCAATTAAAGAACGAGTTTTTTTTTACGAAACATAAATAACGTATCCATGACCACGTTTGGTGACTCATTGGCTTCATGCTGAGTCATAGCAACAACTCTCCCTGAGCCCTAGCATATCCAGCATAGCCTTTCTGTCTAGTACCACTACTGCCAGCAACATTGGACTGAATAGCACTAGAAGCACCTGTTCCACCTGCCAACGTATTCTCTGTCTAGAGATACCACCTGGTTGTAAAGATGCTCTCTGTGAGGTACCACCTGCTGAAGGCGAACTGGACACTTTCTCCTCATATGTCTAGTTAGACCACATTGATAACAAACTCCAATGACCTTAAAGCAGTCTCCAGAGTGAAACTTTCCACACAACTGACACTGTGGAAATTTGACAAACTATAGCTATCAATATGTCCTGAAGTAAATGATCTCTGAACAAACCCTGAGTATGAGTACTACTACTCCCTGGCTGCTGCACTAATCTTTGGCTCGATTTCGAGCCCTGACTTCTGTGGGATTTGGATTTAAAGCTACTAGAAGTAGAAACATCTAATCCACCTCCTATGTGATCCCTTCTCGGTGGTCTAAACATAGAAGCTCCTACACATGTCTGCTTACCACCACTAACACTAGGCCTCATTAGTTGCTGACTGCTTTGTCGTTTTGAAATACTTTTTTCAAATTTTAGAATTGCTTCTAGAAGTTTATCAAAATTTTCATACTCCGATGCTATATCCACTGATCTGATCTCTTCTTTCAAGCCATATTCAAACCTCTACATTTATCAATTTCATCAGCTACAAGAACTCCGCATAATTTGATGATTCTATAAACTTTTTTTGATATTCTGCCACTGCAGATGTCAGTACAAATTTCAAGAATTCATTCTGTTTATCATTCTTATATGAGTGAGAGCAGTAGTACTCATTAAAATCTTCCTTAAAATCACCCCATGAAATCACAGAAGGATTAACATATTTACTCTATACCTCCTTCTAGCAAGAAGGTAGCAAGACGTGCCATCTGATCATCGAGACAATCCATAACCTAAACTATTCTTTTGATCTTTACCAGCTAAGATTTGGCTTTTGCTGGATCAGCTGTACCTGTGAACACTTTAACTCCTAATTTAGTTGCTCGCTCGATGCTATATTCTTTATCTGAACTGCACAATGTAGAAGCAACATTAGTGGCAGTCCTATCAGCTATATTATTAGACTGAGCTACATTTCCTTGTGTCTACTCATGAGTTTACTGTATTGATTGCTCAACTCTACTAACATCTCTATTAGGAGCAACTTGTGGTTGAGGTGGCACATTATGGAGTCTGTGAGTCTTACTACCTCGAGCCATTACTTCCAACTACAAAACATGTATGATATGTTCAGAACGAATTCAAAATAAATGCAATGCAAGCTGACTGTATAACCATGCTCTGATACCAATTGACACGACCCGTCTTGAATTACAATAATGGACCCGACACATGTCGTGCACCAATGGTAGATACCAACTAAGTGTGTCGGACCCACCATCAAGGTAACCTTGACCTGCTTTGATTGTGATATACTTTGTAAAAATTTTGGCAGAGTTCTCTCTGAAATATGGACTAAAATCCCGTGAAAATATAATCCAATATCCCAAACATATACATATAGTTTAAAATAGGGTACACTGGCCCCACAAAATACCAATTATTCAAATATAACATTGGCAATTCGTCCTTTGCAATAATTTACAAACAATACCCAAATGTATAATATACAAAACACAACAGGCCTAAGACATGGAACTAATTTCTGACCAAAAGATGTGTCTATCCCAAAATATGAACTATTTAAACTGATAAGATATATTATACAATGCTTGACAATCTATGGCTCAACTCGATAGATCTACTAGCCTAGTGGTGCTCAACTCAGCTACTATCTGATAAGAGAAAATGTGATAAAAATATGAGTCTATAACTTAGTGAGTGGATATTTCATAAGTATATATTTTCCAGATATGCCAACATTCTGAAAATTGGTATATAATAAAAAGTTCTTTTATTGTATCATAAGCTAAAACATTTATTCTTTAAACTGAAATGACTAAATTCTGCAATCTGAAAACTGATGAACTGCAATCTACTGAAAATCACACCAAAAATGTACTCGGAATAACCTTACTCATGTATTGGTTAGTACCGATATACATGACAAAGCTATTCAATTCTATAATTCTGATATTCTGGTCATATGTGTGTAGAGCTATCTGGTCATACACTATGGAAACACATTCACAATAGGGCAGAGCGAGTAAAATCACCATAACTTATCATACACTGTGGAACCACATTCACACCAGTGCAAAGTGGGTAAAATAACCACATAGAGTCATACACTGTAGAAACACATTCACACAAGTGTAGACTAGGGTAAAATCACCTAGGTACTTCTAGTGAGTTTAAAAAATAACTTGAAATATGCTGAAATATTTAACATTCATATAACACGCTGATCAAAAGATTTAACTGAAATGATTTTAACTTTAAAAACAACATATTATAAATTCACTTTATTCTAAAAATCATGCTGTCAGATCAACTATGGGAAATAATAAATTTTCTGATCTAATTTAAATTTAATAAATACTATTTTCTGAAAAATAAGTTTTATCCACTCACAAATCAAGCTATAGCCTAAGATGGTCGGTAGGCTTTTCTGATCTCCTTGTCATCACTTGAAATACAATACAAAATAACCAATTTAACCACTATTAAAACAAGAAATCTTTTGTCCCTAATGATATAATAGCTAAATTAAATTACTCAATACTTGAATATATTTCAAAATTTTCCTTTGATCAATTGGAGCTAATTCTACCTTCTACTACCTTCACAAATATATATTATACCCAAAATTACCTTCATCCCATTCATAAAAATAATTATACTTTCCAATCTAATGCAAACTAGTAACCATGATTCCACCCATTTAAACTTTCATCTTGTTTCTCAACTTCATGCTTTCATGTGAGTATTCCATCAATATAATTATTCCCACCAACAATCCTTAATAAAAAATCCCAAATAGAAGTCTAGGGTTTGCCAAAAATTATATTCCTTACTTTAATCAACTAAAAATTAATCCATCAAGCACTTTAAACAAGGATTCATACTCCTTTCACTAAATCTGCAAAGTTAACCCAAAAATTTAACCAACTAATCAAACCCTAGAAATTTAACATCATAATACCATAAAACATTCACTTCTAAATCTCATGAAGAAATGAAACAAATGTACCCAAACATGAAGAAATCAACACTTACTTCCCCCTTCTTCCTTTCATTCTTCTTCTTTTCTTTTCTTTTTTCTTTTCTTTTTTTTCTTTCTTCTTTCTCAGCCTTTCTACTTCTCTTCGTTTTCTCTAGTGTGTGTGTGTGTATTTTTGAGAGAAAAAATGGTCAAAGGTTGAATATAAAGGTCCACTTTTTCAAAATTGCAAAGGAAGTCCCTCAACTCCATTTTAATATAACATTTAATCCTTCTAACTTCCCTTAATATAAAAGTAAACTCCCACTTTAACTTGTTTAACCCTTATATATTGCCAATTATAAAATAAACTCTAATCAAATATTTAATTTCATTTTAGTCCTTAATTAACTCTAACCTTGACTAGTCAATATTTGATTTTTGACTAGTAAAATTTGGGTTGTAACAATGGTGGTGATCCGGCTTTGCCACCAATTTCAATGGGTACACTGTGTTCAATTGCTGGGTAAGACTCATCGAGCCTAGGTACGACGATGTTAGTAATGTCTAGGATGTTTCTAAGGATGTTGAAGGCAACAATTTCAGCAAGGGCCGTTCTGATCAAGCATCTGGTTTGGTTCTTGCTACATGGTGTGCTTCAGCCCTGTGTGATGAATACTAATTCGTTGGTGGAATTGGGAACCCTGGAGATTGGGTTCGGATGTCGATTGTGGACACTATACAGAGGATGGGTGTTTGGTTTATATGGAGTGGCTACTATGTTGAAGAGATTCGGCCAATTAATTTCGATGCAGATGAATTTGAAATGTAGGAGTTTCATTCTTAGCACTAAAATTTGAGTCAAGTTGGTGATTGTTAGGTTTGGTGACTCAAATGTGTTAGGATTACTGTTGATTTAGAATTTGATCAAGTGGAATCCTAGAAATTGGTTAGGAGTCTTTTGAAAATGCGTGTTAGACTTTTACTTAAAAAAGGAATCAAATTGCATCCAACAAAAGGAAACAAAATCCTTTTGAAATTGGGTCTTCTAATTGTAATATATTTTCTTTTCTTTTAGGACTCTTCTAGGGTGGCTTATAAATACAAGGCTCCTCTGTCAGTTTTATTAGATGTAATAGATAGAAGCCAATTGCTAGATTGTTTTGTATTCATCATATTGTTGATTCAATAAACATAGTTTCTCTACCTTAATCCTTTTGTTCCTCTTTACAGTTTAAACCTTGTTTCGTTGTGTGACCATGATTACTTCAACATTGACTTATAATCTCGTTCCTTAAAAAATTCGGTTTGGAATCAACGTGTGTTATTGGAGCTTTCGCGCCCAACAAGGAACAGGTTATTACTCTCAGCAAATGCCTTCCCATGAGAGCACAATCAAATCAATATATTATAACTTGTTCATATCCTTCCTACACACATAAGCAAAACCAAATTGGTGTTCAAAATCCCAAACATTGAAAAAAGGAAAAATTCCTTGTGGACATGTGAAATCACAAGAAAAAAAATAAATAAAACGAATCAAATAAAGACCAACAATTGTACCACTAATTGTATAGAAGCAAACAATGGTCGCATGCACAATTCCACGGCATGTGGAACTAATCAGTTTCTATTATGATAAACACGAAATGTTCCTGCCAAGCAAAAGCGTTCACCCATAAACTGTAGAACATATTTAAAATTCCACACACCAAAAACCTTAGTTAGATGATAAAATGTAGAAACCTTCCAAATGCTGGAGATAAACATGGAGTACTGACTAGAGTTGCATTTATGAAATTGTCAAATTACCTGGGTTCGGAGAAAGAGCAAAGCCGTAGTGACGATAGCGATCGACCACCCAACTTTGTATTTAGTGTCATCATGGTCATATAATTTTATTTTTTTCATCATGGCCACCTAACTTTATATGAAGTGTCAATGGCCATCCACTTTGATTTTATTTCATCATGGTCACCTCATTTCATAAAACACTTCACCGTGGCCATCCAATTTCATATACACATTTTAAAAGGGATAGAAGGATAACTTTGCATTATATAACAACAACAACAACAACAACAACAACAACAACAACAACAATAATAATAATAATAATAATTTATTTTGAAAAATAAAATAAAACAAAAAGCCTATTTTATAAAAACTTTACTTAAAAAAATCACATAATTATTTTATTTTTGAATTAACGTTTTTTATAAAATAAGGTTTTTAGTTTTTTTAAGTAACTTTTCTAAATAAGTTTCTATTTTATTATATTTTTTAAAATAAAATTTTATTTTATTTTACTTTTAAAATTATTTTATATAAAATGCAAAGTTACTGTTTCACCCTTTTTAAAATTAGTGAAAATGGTTAAAAGAAGTTGATGGTCATACTAAAATGTTATACGAAATTAGGTTTTTATGATGAAACGATTTATGAAGTTGGGTGCCATAGTGAAATAAAATCAAATTGGGTGGCCATGGCGATATTAAATATAAAGTTGGATGGTCACGATGAAATAAAATTAAATTGGGTGGCCATAGTGACAGTAAATACAAAGTTAGGTGGCCACTGGTGGATTTAACCTTGAAAGAAAAGAAAATGAAAGCAAAAGCAAAAGAAGACGTGGGAGAAGGAAAAGAGAAAAATGGAAAAGAAATTTCAAGTTCAAAATTGGGCATTTTTTACTACATGCCAATATGTATGACATAAATATTCAGCTTTTACAATACAAGACCAATATATATGTCGTTGATATTCAGCTTTTACGACACGCCAATAATATATGCCGTAAGTAATTTAATTATTACAGCACACATATAATGCAAGCCGTAAATAGTCTATTTTTAAAACATTCTTTATATGCACGCCGTAAATGAATACTGTAAAAAGCTACTTCTGTTGTAGTGGTATATTAAAAAATTCGATACTTTAATATGCTACGACAATCATGCAATTCAAAGAGCACTTCATTGTTGTTTTAGAAAAGTAGCTCTGGGAGCCCGAAAGTGGTTAATACATTATAAGTATGATATCACCGAAACGTTTGATGAGTCCCCAAGACATTGAGACTAACGTCAATTGACTTGAAATTGCACTTGGCATCACGAATGACTACTAAATTTGTTCCATTAAATCAAAATCTGAAAATGCACAAATAATAATCGTACCATAATATGCTATCGATGGTCATGTTGATAGCATTCCTAACCCGCGACAAACCCATACAAAGGCATTTCAAACAGCTCTAGTGAGACCCCAAAATTCATGACCACGTCTCTAAGGATTGTAATGTCTCGAGTCTATGTGATATCAAGACTGATGTCGATTTTACGTGAAACATCATTTTATATCACTTAGTGACCAGCAAAATTTATTCTATGAACTCAAAGACGGAAAACGCGTAGCTACTGTCTGATATTAATATCAATCAAAATGCACAATGGACCATGCAATAGCCTTTCAGAATGTTATGGTGTTCATTGCTGACTTAGCAAAGTCGTTCCTTGACCCATAAGATGCAACTGCATTTATTAAGTTCATACCTTTAAAACATTCGACCGGGTACGCCAATATCGAGACAGAAGTCGTTTGGACTTGAAATGAAATTTGACGTTGTTTAGTGACTTGCCAAAGTTGTTCCAGTTGGCTGCCCTGACTAAGGTGTACACCCTTTGAAATAAAATCAATCACCATACCCTCTTGATCTTCTTGTCGATGTGGATTCAAGAAGGTAAATGTTGGATAAATTAATGGATATATAAAGATTACTTAGAGGCTGGAATCCATATGATATTTTCCCCGAGGTAGTGAGGACTTACACTTGACTAAAAACAAATCTTAAGGGGATAATTGAAATAAATACCTAAAAATAGCAAACAATCCATATTTGTCTAAAAAATAAAAAAATAAAAAAAATAAATAGATAGAATTCCAATTTCCTTGAATTTGAAGAAAGCCATAATTCTGCATAATATTGGAGATAAATAGTAGATGACAAGATTGAGGTACAAGGGAATCTTAGAGAAGCATGAGAAGATAAAGAATGAGCTTATCTGCACGTTTCAATGTAGTATAATAGTAGAAAGTGCGAAAAAAGTGTATTTATACATTTATTTTGACTGTTAAATATTAATATTAGAGAGTACATTCAAGGGATTATTACTTAATCATGTGTAAATATTGTTTGTTTAGGTGAAATTCGATGTTGGACAATCTTTTGGAGGAAAAAAATATTAAAAAATGGATAAAGGGACGTATTTTGTTTTTAATTCTGAGAATGTATTACGTATGATTCTAGGGATCATAGAGATTATTCTGCTATATATATATATACATTACATATGAAATCAATGAAGTTTATTTTCATTCCATTTGAAACATAACATGGTATCAGAGTGTTAGATTTCGAAATCCATACCTTTGCTTCTGCGGCCGAATCCCCTGCCTTCGACATCAACAAGTCTCTCACTAATGCTTCATCTCCATAGTTCCTGCATCCATCTGATCAACCAAATCAATTTCTTGTCGATACACCTCTTAGTGGCGACAATTATCTTCTTGGCATCGACCAATCACTCGAGCACTGAATGCTAAGAACAAATTGGGCTTTGTTCTCAGCACCATCAAACGACCCACCGAAGACTCTGCTGCAGTATTACTCTGGGACTGATGTTGTGACATAATAATGTCATGGCTGCTCCATTCCATTGATCGCTTACTTATAGGTAGCCTTCTCTATTATGCTACACCAAATGACTTATGGGTAGAACTAGAAACCCATTTCTAACAAAGCAAACACACTAAAGTTTTGGGATTTGGCCAATCTTCACAAGGAACAAAAATCAATTACATCATACTAAGGAAAATTGAAGGAGTTATGGGATGAATTAGGCTCCTTGCAACCAATCAATCCATGTACATGTGATGCCCATAAATCCTTCGTTGAATCTCAAGACACATATCGAGTTTATCAATTTCTCATGGGCCTTAACGAGAGTTTTCAGCAAATTCAATCACAGATTTTAGCCACAGACCCACTCCTTTCTATTATTCATTTCTATGCTACCCTCTATCAAGAAGAAACCCAACGTTTGCTCCAATTAAACCCAGCTCGACCAGATGCCTCAACTCTAATTGCCCGCTCGATGCCACAGCGGACTCAACCTCGTCCTCGTCGAGTCTGGCCCATCGAAACTCCTCTCTGTGAAGCATGTGGTAAACCCGGCCATCAACATGACAAATGCTTTGAGGTTATTGGGTACATAGAATGGTAGTCATCCAAGAGCAAACGCAGCACAGTCGGTTCCTTTTTGCTGGCTATCCATCAAGTTTCTGTCGCCGCCAACTCCTTAGCCATGAGTGAAATTTCTGGTCTCTTCACCGAGCAACATAACCAATTAATGGAACTCCTCAAAGGCCCAGCTCTCTCCTTCACAGGTCCATCTGCTCGCCCTTCTCTTTTTGATAAACCGTGGGTTGTGGATAGTGGTGCCACACACCACATTACCACTTTACCCCTAAATAATTCTTGTACTAGTACTTGTCCATCTTTTGTTTCTCTCTCCACAGGTTAACAGGCTCCCGTGTCCCGTATGGGTAATGTTCAATTATCTTCTCATCTCTTACTTTCTAATGTTTTGTCGATACTTGATTTTAAATTTAATTTGTTATCGGTTAGTCAACTAACGAAATCACTCAATTGTGTCATTTCCTTCATTCCCACCTTTTGTGTCTTCAGGACCTAACCATGAAGATGCTGATTGGCATGCGTTGTACTACTTTGGATTGTACTATACTTCAAGGCAGCTCTCGTCACTGCCTGTAGTCGTCCAGTCACATTTCTTTTGACACATGGCATCAATGCTTGGGTCATCCCTCCTTACATAATCTTCCGCATTTTATTTCTCGTCCTAAAGTTATTGAACATTGTGATGCATATAATCAAGGAAAACATACTTGATTACCTTTTCAATCAATTAAAAATAAAACTTCAATGCCTTTTGAACGTATATCTTGTGATATTTAGGGTGGTTATCATACAAATTCTCTTTTAGTTGCACATTATTTTTTAAACATAGTTGATGAATACACTTGAGTCACATAGCTATATTTAATGCGTTTTAAATCTAAAACTTTATCCTGTCTATGTTCATTTTTTTCCATGATTCAAACTCAATTCAACTACAAAATACGTCACATACACACTGATAATGGCCAAGAATTTCTTGCCCGCACCACCCAACATTTTTTTCTGAGCAAGGCACTCTTCACGAACACACTTGCATGGAGACACCTCAACAGAATGGTATTGCTGAACGGAAACACCGCCATATTTTAAATGTGGCTTGATGCCTACACTTTGAAGCACATCTTCCCCTCACCTTTCGGGGCGAAAGTGTACTCACTGCAGCCTACCTAATCAATCGAACCCCATCTTCCTCCCTACAAAACATTTCTCCCCTTGAACGCCTTTACCAGAAGATGTCTTGCTATGATCATTTACTTGTATTTGGCTGTCTTTGCTAGTGCTTATCACGTTTATGATTTAGATCACAAACAGTTTCTCATCTCTCGAGATGTCACATTCATCGAACATGTTTTTCCCTTCAAGTATGGTCCCAATTTTCTCCCTCCCCCCTTACGTTACCTTTCCCTATCCCTGATTCTCCCACTTCTTCTCCAATCTCCTCCTCCCCTCCAACATCCACTCCTGCTCCTCCTACCCATCCTCGTTGTACTATACATCCTCTTGCTCGCTTAGCCAACTACATTTGCCCTACCCTGCCTTTCATTACGTCTTCCATCGATCTAGTCACATCTTCAGGTACGACTCATCCTCTTTTTGCTAATGATTTTACTTTTCTTTCTGCCTTATCACATTCCTCTGACCCCACTCAATACTCTCAAACTATTTGACATTTCAACTAGCGTGATGCTATGTAGCTTGAAATTCGGGCTCTCGAATCTAATAATACTTGGATTCTTACATCCCTGCCTCTAGATAAGAAACCTATCTGTTGTAAGTGGGTCTTCAAAACTAAATTCCATCCCGATGGTACCATTGAGCGTCATAAGGCTCATTTAGTGGCCAAGGGTTATACTCAGGTTGAGGGTCTTGATTACCATGACACTTTTGCTCCTGTGGCCAAACTTGTCACTGTCCATTGTGTTTTGGCAATTGCAGCAGCCTGTAATTGGCACCTCCATCAACTTGATGTTAATAATGCTTTTTCTTTCATGGAGATTTGGATGAGGAGGTCTACATGTCACTTCCTCCAAGGTATGGTCGAGAAGGGGAGACTCGCATTTGTCGTCTCCTTAAATCTCTCTATGGTCTTAAGCAGGCTTCTTGCAATTGGTACTCAAAACTATCCTCTGCTTTATTCTATGATGGTTTCACTCAATCTGAAGCCGATCACTCTCTTTTCACCTGAACTATTGGCTTTTCTTTTACTATTGTTCTAGTTTACGTTGATGATATCTTAGTTGTAGGTAATGACCTCTCTACTATCAATGTCCTCGAAAACTCTCTGAATGACAAGTTCAAAATCAAAGATTTGGGCAACTTGAAGTATATTTTCTTGGCCTTGAAATTGCTCGATCACCTCTTGGCATCTTCATCAATCAGTGCAAGTATACTATTGACATCCTTGCCAACTCTGGTCATTTAGGTTCACGCCTAGCTAGCTTTCCTATGGAACAAAATTGGAAGCTCACTACTGATGACGGTACCATACTTTCTCATCCCAGTTCATATCGACGATTATTGGGTCGAATTCTGTCTCTTACTATTACTCACCCAGACTTCTCTTTCTCCATCCATATGTTAAGTCAATTCATGCAACACCCTTAGAATTCACATTACCAGGCCGTACTTCATGTTCTGTGCTATTTGAAGGGATCTTCGGGACATGGACTATTTTATTCTGCTTAGTGTGATCTCATTCTTTCTGCATACTTTGATTCTGATTGGGCTAGTTGTCCTACGACTTGTTGCTCCACAACTGGATTTTTCATTGCTCTTAGCACTAGTCCCATTTCTTGGCGAACAAAGAAGCAAATAGTTATCTCTCGCTCCTCTATCGAAGCTGAATATCGTGCCATGGCATGGCCATTTGTGAACTTGTTTGGCTCAGATCTCTTTTGCATGAACTTACTATTGTCCCAACCCACCATATCTTGCTCTATTGTGACAATGACGTTGTTCTTCACATCACTCGTAATTCTATTTTTCATGAATGCACCAAACATATTGAAATTGATTGCCACTCTGGGCTTACTCTTCCTACATAAGTATCTACCAAATTTCAACTGGCTGATATTTTTACCAAAGCTCTTGGGAAAGAACTTTTCCACCATTTCACTTACCACTTGAGCATTACTGACCTCCATGTTCAAATTTTGAGGGAAGTATTACTCATGATTCTTGGGATCATAGAGATTATTCTGCTACATATTATTTCCTAAATTAGTTTGTTTCCTTACATAGCAGATTTCATATATATATATATATATATATGATATTCTAGTACATAGTAAATACTATAAAGAATATATGAAACATCTAGATATAACCTTGAATAAATTTATAGAAAATGGTTTAATTATAAGTAAAAAGAAGATAGAAATAAATGAACAAAAAATTGAATTTTTAGGAATAATTTTAGGAGAAGGAAAGATTCAGTTATAGCCACACATAGTACATACAATTTTATGAAGAAAACTAAGAAATTACAAGTCTTTTTAGGAATATTAAATTATGCTAGACATTTTATGAAAGATTTAGGAAGGAAAGTAGGACCATTGTATAGTGAATTGTCTAGTAAAGGACAAAAATATTTTAATCAATCAGATATAGAATTAGTTAAAAAGATAAAAGCAGAAGTTAAAAAATTACCACAATTAGAATTACCATTAGATAGTGAATATAAAATAATAGAAACATATGGATATGAATTAGGATGGGGAGGAGTTTTATATTCCAAACCAAATAAATATAGTGATAAAAAAGAAGAAAAAATTTGTAGATATGCTAGCGAAAAATACAAGATAAAAGGAAAATATTTAACTAGTTTAGATTATAAAATAATGGCCATCATACATAGTATAGAAAGCTTTAAATAATTTTTAAACACTGAATTTATATTTAGGATAGATTGTGAAGCTATAGTAAAATTTATTAAAGAGAGAAATTTTGATAAAATAAGACATAAAAGATGGTTAAAATTATATGAGATATTAAGCAACTATAAAATTAAGGAAAAATTGTAGTAGAAGCCCCAAACCTTTTAAACACTAGTAGACTTTTCTCTAACCTTTCACTTGTTGCAACTGTCACCCCAACATTTTCAAACATTACATTTGAGGCCCTTTTGGATGGAATCTGTCCAAATTTCTGTTAATTGACCTAAAAAAGTGATTTTGACCCAAAAATTAATTTTGACTATATTTTACTCAATTTTAAAAGGGCAAAATAGTAATTTAATATTTTCTCCACCCACTTTCCCTCACTCTCTCCCCCCCCCCCCCCCCCCCCCCCCCATTTCCCTATCTCTTCTCATTTTTTGTAAGAAAGAAGAAGACAAGCATTTAATCAACTTTACCCCAAAGATTGCAGCTATAAATATTGAATCGAAATTTTTTTACTTCATATTCATAATTTATTACAAAAGATCATCAGTACAATCCACAAATGGAAGGCTTAATCCCATTTCTCCTTCACGCCATCAAGAAACAGAGTTCGCAACCCTCATACTGTTGCCTCTCCGACAAATCCACACACAGCTACCACCTCCTACAGTCAATTGAGGGCAGCTCCTCCCACCACAGAACACGATTTGAATTTCAGAAGCCGTTAGAGGCGATGGCCTTTATCAATAGGTCCCATACAAAAGAGCCGAACCAGAGCTTGCACGATGTCTCGTTCAGAAGCTAATAACGACTTTACACAAAGGGGTTTTGCTTTAACCACTAGTTTAATTACAGATTAAGTTGACAAAAAAGATAGGAAAGAGGGGGGGGGAGAGGGAGGGAGGGAAAGTGGTGGATAAAATATTAAATTACTATTTTACCCTTATAAAATTGAGTAAAATGTGGTCAAAATTAATTTTTCTGGTCAAAATCACTTTTTAGGTCAACTAACGGAAATTTGGACAGATTCAATCCAAAAGGGCCTCAGATGCAACGTTTGAAAATGTTTGGGGTGACGGTTGCAACAAATGAAATGTTAGGGGAAAGTCTGCTACTGTTTAAAAGGTTTGGGGCTTCTACTGTGATTTTCCCTAAAATTAATATAGAACGTACTGACAGAAAAAATAATATTTTAGCATATAATTTAAGTAGGCTAGTTATTAATTTTCTAACTCATTATCTTCATGGTATAAATGGATCAAAGGATGATGAACTTTGGAAATGTCACTTTGAGGGTGGCCCCTCAAAGATTTAATTAGAGGAAATAATTTAGAAAGACTACTAGAAAGGGAACGTTGTCTACTGGATAATCTCTGGATGACACGTGACTCTAAACCAATATAACCATTTTAGATAGATTCATTATCAAGTGGAAAGCAAAAATTTTAGTTTCTTTGCAGTAATTA